AGATGGCTTTTATAATCCCAAACGAATACTATGCAAATGATACAAAAAGTAATACTCAACAGACATATTGAATCATTAGGAAAAAAGCTTCTATTTACTCAAAATTATTCTCAAAGGGGCATATCCCACTATAGGTCAAATACATCTGAATCAGTAAGAAATTGAACAGAATTTTCAAAAACTCAGATGATAAATCATTGAATATGTATCCACCATACGAACACAACGAAAATTAGAGGTGGCCATCAATCTCAAGAATTCAAAAAATCATTAAATTCTTTTCTTCTAGGAGGTTCTTAAAAAAATATATCACATGCCTATGAAAACTATTTTCCATTACAGAGAAGCAACCAAATGAATTTAAGTACTGCCCACATGGTAGGCCAGGCTGAAAAGGAAAATACTAAGCAATGCCATCTTTTGCCAATAAATAAACCACACAGAGGTTAATTAACGCAGGCTAAAGTTAAAGAGGAGCCCTGGTGGCACAATGGTTAAGCACTTGACTACTAACCAAAAGGTTGGTGATTTGAACCCACCAGGGGCTCTGTGGGGGAAAAGACTAGTGATCTACTCCCTTAAAGATTACAGCCTAGACCAGAGACACAATCGAAGGTCCCAGATATAACGGGAGAAAAATGTAAAACAAAACCCTAATTCCTAACAAAGGCCAGATCTACTGGACAGAGAGAGACTAGAGGAACCCTCGAGACTAATGCCCTAAGATAACCTTTGGACTTGGATTTGATGCTATTTCTGTAGGTCATCTTTCAGTCAAATAATAGATTAGCTTTAAAAATAAACAATATCACCTGTGAGTAATGTGCTCCCTTAAACAATTAACTGTATGAGACCACAGAGCCAACATTTACCCAAAAGCAAAGGTGAGAAGGCAAGGAGGGGAAAGGAAACTAGAAGAATAGAAGAATGGAAATAATGAGAACGCTGACACATTGTAAAAACTGCAACCAAAGGCACAGAACAATTTTCGTATAAAAATTGTTGAAGGGGAGCCTAATTTGCTATGCACTTTCACCTAAAACACAATAAAATATTAAAACAAAGGTTACAGCCTAGGAAACCCTATGCGGCAGTTCTACTCTGTCACATGGGATAGCTATGAGTCGCAATCAGCTCAACGGCACACAACAACAAAGTTAAAGAGAAAAGCCAGCAACAATATCCAAAAGCAGCTATGAAATTTCTCACCTCTAATTCTGTCCTTTAATGACTGGGAGACAGTACATATGTCCAACCAATCATTCACCTCAAACCGTTTGCTATCCGACACTAGATTCCCCAATACCTCTTTACCAGAACAGCTCCACTTTTATCTGTTTTATATACTGGGCTTTGGCAGAAGAGTTTTTTTGAAGAAAACGATTCTGCAGTTAAAAAGTTCTCAGCTTTAAACATCAGGTTGGACAACATATCAGACCATGAAAAAGTGTTCTATGTGTTCAAGGCATGGAAAGGTAGAGAATTTAAAGATGCTATGGATGTGTTTTTGGTAATTTTGTAAAACACTCAACTGTTTATCAAAATGTGTCAATATACTGAATATAAACATAAATGTAATTCCATTTCAATTGTATTACTGATATATTTTATTCTATGAGTAGGTTACTGCTTTAATTTAAACCATCTTCTCAATCCTTGTTGTTGTGTGCTGTAGACTCAATTCCAACTCACAGAGACCGTATACGACAAAGGAGAACTGTCCCATAAGGTTTCCTAGGCTGTAACTTTTAATATTTTATTGTATTTTAGGTGAAAGTACACAGCAAATTAGGTTCCCCTTCAACAATTTTTATACAAACATTGCTCTGTGCCTTTGGCTGCAATTTTTACAACTTAGGCTGTAATCTTTACAGGAGCAGATCGCCAGGTCTTTTCTCCCATGGAGTCATTGGTGGGTATGAACCATTGAGTGCTTAATCACTGCACCACCAGGGATCCTTGCACAATACTGAACCCAAACCAAACCCGTTGCCACTGAGTCGACTCCAACTCATAGCGATCCCACAGAACAGAGCAGAACTGTCCCACAGGGTTTCCAAGGAGCAGCTGGTGGATTTGAACTCCGGACCTTCTGGTTAGCAGCCAAGCTCTTAACCACTGTGCCAGGGTTCCAATACTTAGAGGTATCAAATTAAGAAATTCCTCTGTAATCCCTATTAAATTATACTTGCAACATCTATAAACAAATGGAAGCAACTCCCTTAAAACAACTCCCTTAAAAGAGCAGATGGCTTTTATAATCCCAAACGAATACTATGCAAATGATACAAAAAGTAATACTCAACAGACATATTGAAT